CCGCCCGAGCTTAGCCGGCCAGAGATATTTTGCCGTTGTCACTCCCACACCACGATGAGGTGCCTGGGTCGGAATTTTGTGGGAGTGTTTATTGATAAAGCACTAAAATACACAATGACTCTGTTAACTATTCATTCACTCACTCATTCTTTCTTTCACTGAATAATTAATCAATTGATTCATTCAATTATCATAAAATAAAACTGTAGCTTCCATCTGGTTTTATTCATCCCCAAATCAAGCTACATATGCTGCAGCATGCCGGTGACGAAGCATTATTTGATGCAGTTTGTTGAACTTCTCAGATCTAGGGCCAACCTATTACTTGCCTCTGCTGGAGAAAATTCAGTTTACAATCTGGACAGTAAATGAAGACCTCACTTGTGACTGATACTGTATTCTGTCACAATCTTCAGAAATTATTCTTCTATCAATGATAGCCTCCAAATCTGGAAGTCAGACAAAAGTTAGCCAAATGGCAGGCTGAGTGGGTTCAAAATCTTGAGGATTTTTGGCTAGTTACGGGACTGTCTGACACAGCCTGTTGCAGAACCATATGGCATGATGCTATCATCTTTTATCTGTATTCAAACTTTGTTGTTGACACATCCATCGGATGCAACAAGGCAAGGGTTCTTTTGAATGGTTTAACTGTTGAGAATCCTGCAAAATTAGCTTAAATCTTGTGATCTGACCAAAATGGTTCAGTTCAGCTCTGGATTCTATTTTGTAACATTTATAAATGTCGTCAGACCTTTCATTGGTGGCACTGGTCACCATCAATGGTGTTTTCTATCCCCTCTTCTGTTCGCGTTGCACAGCCATGCGCAGTAAAGGGGACAAACGTACAAGCATAGTAGACGGAGAGACAAGAATTTGGCTGTGTCCATGCGACCTTGTTTGTCGACATGTTCTAGCGCTCGACACTGACAAGGTTCAGCACTGAGTGTGACGTAGCCTACAGCGTTGGAAGGAGTCTAAAGACAAATGCCTAATTCTTTGTTGATAAATGGGGATCAGTCGACCCACAATCACGTTCCTTTGGGTCTTATTTATCGGTGATTGAAAATGGGAGGGAACGATCGACCGGCCGGCGAAATGGGTGGCCAGTGACATTCTGTGTGGACTATCCCGAACCGTCGTGACTAAGGCACAGTTGAGTCTGAAGATTAAGTTCTCTGTATTGAAGTTCGATTTTCTCATCCCCATCCTCAGTTATGTTCATGAGTTTTGCACAATGACTGTAAAATTTCGATCCTAGGTGCAAATGGCTTAAATCGTTGGGTTCAGGCTCTCAATTAGACCGCCTTTTTCATAACCTTCTCCAGATTACGAAGTCATAGCTGCAAAGGTTTTGGCATGACCTGCAAATGCTTCGAGAGAGGAGGAAGAAACAGGAGTCTCCCCGTGGCAGGCTGGAAGAAGACCTGGGTGAAAGCCAGGAATGATCTGATGCAACCTCGAATGACTCTGCCCCAGACTCACGTTTTCTTCTGCCGAAGCTCAGACGCTGGAGCACAGGATTGGAGGCGCTACAGACACTGTCCGACGCTGCTCACTCCGCGACCCAACTTAATAAGCGGTCATCAAAACTGACCGACTGATTTGTAAACGAGGTACAGAAATTGCATGGCATTATATTAACAGTGTTACATTCATGTAAAGTGAGGCTCACTTCCTTATTAAAGTATTACACTTTAATACATATATTATCATATTTTATATAATCATCTTTAGCAGGAAGTTCGTGAAAGCGAACGAGTGACAATTTGATTTTCAGGAAAGGGTTGTTTGCGAT